GGGGGGCGGGGGAGCCGCGGCGGGAGCCCCGGGCGTGCGCGCCCGGAGGCTCTGGGTGTCCTCCCGCCTCGGCTGCGGGTACCTCACGGGGAGGAGGGGCCGCAGTGCGCGGGCCGGGCTGGGTAGGGAGCCGTGGGCCTCTGCTGGGCCCTTCGGATCCCGGCTCCCCCCGGGAACCTGCAGTGTGAACAGCCTGAGACGGGCTCACCCACCAGGGCTGCCCCTGCCTATGGGGAGTCCAGACTGGGGCACAGGGCCTAGCCCCAGTGCGTGTGGGGGGGTCGCAGGGCCCCAGAGTCCAATCCTGGCACCTGGTACTGGGCAGCAGCTGCACGGGGCCCATGCCAGTGTGCGGACCAGCTCGTGCCACTCGCCTGGCCTGCGGGGCCAGAGCTTGGAGCATCACTGGCCTAAGACATGAATTGGCAGTGAAGCAGAGGGACAGCTCCCAGCGGTGTTCAATAAGTGCCGTTTTGTTTAAAGCTGCATCATTTCAGTTATTCCAAGTCTTTTCCCTGTTGTTATGAAATTTGCTATGCTTCAGGTGAGTACTGCTGGGAGAGGGGAAGTTAGAGGGTGGCTATCCAAATACAGATTTATCTTGAGTAAGGAGCTCCTAAGTTGCAGCCCACCAGAAACGGCATTTAACAAACAAAAATTGCTCTTGTGTGCAATGCTCACTTGAGCCTCAAACCGTTGTTTATAATTGTTTGCCAAGTGATCATCTCCAACTAAGGCTTCCTGCTAGGATGGGGCAACAACTCCCCCTTTGGGCAGCAGAGCTGAACAGGCTCAATTTCTAGATCAAGAGTTCATGCTGAATGGATGAGCCCAAGTGGAGCAGGAGTGGGGCTTTATTAAAACCAAAGGGTTTCTGAACAAGCTGTCATTGTAATTGGGTGGTTTAAGGAAACTTGCTGTGACTACTGCACCATGTGTACTGCGAGTGAGCTCGTCTTGCAGGTTTCAGAGACTCCCATGTGTTTCCCCACTCTTGCCTGTATTCCCCAGGGGGAAAACTTACTCTGAGATTAACACTTTAGAGCAATATTTTTTTCCAGTTCCTTCAGAAGTACAGTGAAAGGAGTGAGCATTCTACAAACCAGAAGGGAGTTAGGGTAGTCACTTTTCTGAGCAGTGGAGTTGAATGTGGTCTATTGAAAGCAGGTCACTGGGTCACTTGTTCCTGAGGTTCCTGGTATGTGCCCTGTCCTTATATGAGCTGTTAACACTCAGAATGTTATAATCTCTTAATGCTGTCTGAAGAAATGGAGAGTGTTAGGAAGGTACAGGGTAGGGAGATTAGGGGAGAGGGGTCTGTGATTATGGATTGGGGCAGGGGGACTATTTGAGAGTTGAGAGGGCCAGGAGATTGAGAATTAGGGTTGGGACAGCTGGTCTGAATCAGTAGTTGGCAGCATTTTTAGAGTGTAGGCTGAAATGACCTAGTTCATGCTCACCACCCTTTGACCCAAGGACCCAGCCATTGCTGCTTTCCTCTGCAGCTAGTACAGGCACTTGTCACAGCCCCATCACCTTCCGTTCTTCCTGTGCTTAGCCTAAGATCAGGATGCACAGGTCAGACTCTGAGGACCACTAACAAGGTACACTTTCCAATGGAAGACTGCAAAGATCTGCTTGGATTGGAAGTAAATCCTCAGCATGTTTGCAAGTGGTGAAACTGGGCCAGGTGTGCAGGCTGCTGCACAGATTAATGAACTGCCACACAATAGTGTAATGGGTGTATGACCGGAGCAGCTGTCTGGGGTGTGGGGAGAATTTGTGTGAACATAGCCACTGTCACAATGGCATCTGACCATGTCTCTGCCATTGGCGCTGCAGCTGTCCAGGGTGTGAAGCTGGCCTGCTGCTCCTCTGGCAAGGATGCAAGGCTTTGGTTTACTTCTCAAATCCTTCTTGGCTTAATAAAGTATTCTGGTGGGCCACTGGGATTGCCCAGGCAGACCACATGTTGTACGGTGTACCGAGGTGTCAAGGGGCAGGCTGGAATATTTTGGCCTATCGGTCTCATACTGATGCTTGCCCCTTTACTGAGAAGAGAGGACCAGATTATTTTAGCTGGCAGAGCACTAGAAGGTAGTGCAGGCAAGCCATTATTTTGTAGGGTAGCTATTGCTAAGGAGCTGGAGCAGAGGAAGAAGAGAGTTGGGCTGTAGTTCATGGGGATCTTTTAAAACTAAAGAGAACTTCCAGGGTGGCGATTCCACAGTTTCTCTAGATAGCTTGTTCTAATACTTCACCACCCTTGTACTCAGAAAACTTTGCTTGATCTCCATCTGAAATCTGCTCTGCTTCAGTTGAAGTCCATTGCCTCTAGTCCTGTCCCCTAAAACCACAGAGAAAAAAGGCACTCTCTATTGTCCTTCAGGTATTTGAACTCTGGGATTACCCTATATACTGAGTGGATTTATTTACTAACTACTGATAGTCAAAAATGAAACCTCTGAATTTACCAGTCCACCCCTGTCATTTGAAAAAAGATAGCTAACTTTAACTGTGGTGCAGGTCAAGGTTGGGTCCTAGTGGCATGAAGTAGGAAAGACTGGGAGACGATGTTTTTAGGGTTGTGCATAGTAGGTAACAAAAGTACCATCAGAACAATAACAATATGACTTGTAGATCAGAAGAGGTTGTACTGGACTATTATGTGGGGTTAAAATTAAGTAAATAGAGAACAGTGGCTGGTTTCAAAAAGAGTTTGAAACAATTTGGATGAATATAACTGTCCTTGAAGAGGACAGTTGGTGAAAGATGCCTGAATTTAAAGAGAGAAAGATTAAACTAAAATAGGATTGATGTGATATAGTAGGCAACTCCCACAGCTTTGTAAAGCAGCCAAAGCCCAATAGTGCAAATTACCATAGGACTAAACTCAAGTTACTCTACTCAAACCAGCTTTCCTCAAGTGAAGAGTGGCCACACTGACTGGATTAAGAGTAGGGGAATTGGTATCTCTCAAACTGTGTCAACTTGTAGCTGGCATTCTCACTATTTCTAGCTGAGTGCCAGCACCATTTAAGCTTCAGTTCATGCCTTCTGAGAAAGCAAGTTACTTCAATTTAAAGCACCACTGTGCCCATAGGTCAGTAATTTGAGTTGATGAGAGTTGGGCTAGAGCAGGGGTGGGCAATTATTTTGGGTGGAGGGCTGCTTACTTAGTTTTGGCAAGCCATAGAGGGCTGCATGACCGGCAGCCAGGGGCAGATAAATATTAATTTTCTAAATTTTTGGGAGGCCCATGGGCTGGGTAGAATGGCTGGGCTGGCTGCATCTGGCCCACGGGCTGCATTTTGCCCACCCCTGGGCTAAAGGCAAAACTAGAGCCATTATTCAAGCTAAGACTGTACAGTAAAGATAAACCCTCTTCTGGAGACAGCATCAGAAGAAGCTGAGGCATTTTACAAATAGCTAAGCTGCTCTGAAAAGAGAATCAGAAGCAAAGCACCCAGTTTCTTCCCTTGCCTTCCACCCCTCCCTGCAAAGAAAAAAAAAAAAAAAGAGGGAGGGGGTTAGGGGCTGGAAATTAAACATACCTTGAAATTTATATTCTTGAGGAAGACTGCAGTTTAATCCTCTCTCTGGTCTTGACTATCAGACAAGTCACTGAAATAGCAAATAAATAGATGGGACCAGAAATCTCCAGGGAGATAACCTGTTGCTAAACAGTCAGGTTTGTGTCATCAAAGGTATACCTAAGTACAAATGAAATGCAGTAACGTGGAATTGGGTACCTAAATATCTTTTGAAAATCTGGGCCCAAGCATCATGGATACTGTTGCAAAAGTTGAATTACTTTGCTTATTTAGGCTTAGTCTTGTCTACAGAACATTTGCATCTCTGCCAATTTTATTCTCAACCTCTTCAGACTTGAGACAACTCTGGGAAAATGTCAGCTGCTTTCACTTTTCCGAGTGCAGGAAAATAACAACAATTTTTTGCAAAGAACTCTGCTCACAACATGTTAGAAAGTTTTTAGCACTTTAACACTATGGATTCCTATTTGAAAACTCTGGGTTTTTCTTGTGAATCATATTTGCATACCAAACACTGCTAACATTGCATGGCACCCCACAGCATCCTTGAAAGAATTTCAAGGCACTCCAGGGTGTCATGGCGCTCTGGTTGAGAATCGCTACTCTGTGCTAAAGGGCTTTGACATAACTGCCAGTATAGCTTCAGTGGCAGTGGCTCTGTAAACGAACCATCAGAATGTTATGCTGCATATTGGCTTATCAATACATTTTAAATATAAGTCTTCATTTTCTATCTTGCATGCTAACTAAATCCTAATTAAGGTTCTGGCTTATAACTTGATATGGTAAGTTAAATGTGTAGATAAACAGCGTCAGTTCTATAGTTTTTAGATCTGGCTATTGCCCAAAACTGAAGATTTTATTTGAATTTCTAGGGCTAGGAAATGCAGCAAGTGACAACAGAGCCTTGATTTCTTACTATCAACTTTTCCCCCTTTGAATACAGATTGTGAAAATGGCTGAAAATGGGGATGGTGAAAATATGTCTGTTCTAGAAAGAAAAATCTGTCAGCAAATTGAGGTATGTTCATCTTGATTTTAGATGTCAAATCAGTTTGTCTTAAGCTACACTAATGGGGATTTAGTTGACTGTCTAAACAGATGTTAGCTAGCTACTATTTAGACCCAAATCTTTTAAATTGGTTTTAGACATGCTAGTCTCGGGTCCAGGTCTGATCTGAAGTATCCTAACATTAAATGCTATTACGTATTTAAATGGGAAGCAGACTTTCAAAGATGGCTGTAACAAATCATACACTTTGAATTATCAGCAACTTATCCATATCTTTTAACTTTTAAATTCTACTTTAGGTACAAACCGGCAAATTTTAGGTAGTATTAAAATAAACAACGTTAAATTTCTTATTGCAAATCCAGATGTTATTGCACATGCATGCAAATAGGGAGGTGCATTTAATGTTAAACCTATCTTGGCTTTTGAAGGGAAATTCCTATTCAGTACATTCGTACTTTTGAAAGTATTATCATTCTACTTAATTTGCTGTCTTACACTTCAGTTCTACTTTATTACTAATAATTCAATATTAAAGTCTTGCATCCATTTTAAATTAAGTGTCTTTATATCATTCAACTTGAAGAACTTGGAAGTGTAGATTATTTTTATGTAGTAGTAGAAATGTTTTTGTGCTTTTTTAATTCTGCCTCCCACACCCATGCTAATTACTTTTATTTGACTAAGTAGAGTGTGTACAATGCAGGGAGTGGGGGTGGCTGGGGAAGAAGTGCAGTCACTGAAATAGATTATAACTGAAATTAAATCTAATGCAGGGGGCAGCAACCTTTTGCTGCTGTGGACAAGATCTTGCAGCCCAGCTCCCTCCTGTGGGCCACAGATTTGTTCTTATTGGATTTTCTTGTGCATTAAAAATGAGAAATACCATGAAGATGAGCATTATGCATGATCAGAAGTCTTATCTACTAAACCAAGCTATAGACTGTTTTTTGTAGCAACTGCAGCTCTGTTTGGTACTGTTTACTAAATGAGATCACTTTTCAAAGCTAACTGCAGATTATTTTAGATAATTTTCATGTTAAGATGGGCACTGTAAAAGACATCTTCATAATTGCAGGATTTCTAATTCAGTTATGTAGATATTTCTATCAGTATCAGGAGATCTGTTATGAGTCTTGATATTGCATTGAACTACCCACACAAGTATTCATTAAATTAATAGAAATGAAGCTACTTATTACCTGAGCAGTGCTTTTTTAAAGATAAAATTGATTTATTTTGCAGTACTATTTTGGTGACCACAATCTACCAAGAGACAAGTTCCTAAAGGAGCAGATCAAGCAAGACGATGGCTGGGTTCCTTTAGAAATAATGATTAAATTCAACAGGTAAAACAACAAATAACCTGAAGATGGCTATCTTGTCTGAATGTTGGGGTCCTCAGTGTGCTTGTACAACTCCATCTCTATTGTTGAGTGATGGAGGGAAATAATATATATGGGTCTGGCATGCCTTTCTCCTCTCCTTCCACAGGTTAAGCCATCTCTCAAAAGATTTTAGTGTTATACTGGAAGCATTAAGGAAATCCAAGGCTGGACTTATGGAAATAAGTGAAGACAAAACTAAAATCAGGAGATCTCCAAACAAACCCCTCCCTGAAGTGAATGACCAGTACAAAAATGAAATTAAAAACAGATCTCTATATATTGTAAGTACACTTTTGTACTTGTCTGTATAAGTTTCAGTTTATTGCTTAAAATGCTTCAACTCAAGTGAAATTGATCCTCACTTTATTTCTGTATAAAACTGAGTTTAGAACAAGGGTAGGCAACCCCTGGCATGTGCGCCAGAACATGGTATGCAAAAACATTTTGCTTGGCATGTGTGCCTTGGGGCAGATGGTGGGGAAGAGGCTGGGGCTGTGCTGCCACAAGGATTGGGGCCCTCGCAGCTCCCCTGCCATCTGCCCCTGGCACATCAACATCTTATAAGTCAAGGTTGCTGGTGATTTTGGCAGCAAAAATGTTGCTGACCCCTGGTTTAAAATAAAGTGCTCTTTTTCCACCCCGCCCTTCTTAAGCAACTGACTTGTCTTTTGGTCACAATACAGGAACTGCAATAAATATTTATCTAGAGTTCAGTTGAAATGTCATGGCATATCTGATTTGTATAATGATTTGAAATTCACTGTTATTTTGCAGAAAGGTTTTCCAACAGATTCTACACTAGATGATATCAAAGAATGGCTTGAAGGAAAAGGCACAGTAGAGAGTATTCAGATGAGGAGAACATTGCAGAAAGCCTTTAAGGTAGCTATTCCTTATAAAGCCTGGTGCTCAGTCATCTGTGAACATTGGGGAGTTACTAGAAAACATTTAATCTATCAATTTGATTCTTGATATCCACCTTTCTTTTATAGGGATCTATATTTGCAGTTTTTGATAGTGTTGACTCTGCTAAGAAGTTCATAGAGATCCCAAACCAAAAATACAAAGACACGGAGCTAATAGTCCTTTTCAAGTAAGTCCATCTAACTGATGTTTGCTCAGGTATCTATTTTTGCACTAAATATGACTTGAGTTGGGGAATTTAAGCGTTGCTGCCTTATACAGATTTCAAATATTGATTGTTTTTTTTAGGCTTAGCAGTTTCTTTGGATCAGAGCATCCCTAATTTTAAGGTGTTGTGAACCCAGCCATTCCTTGGCTATTACAGTCTTCCTTTAGGTTGCTTTAATTACATTATAGAGTTCTATTCTAACTTGATTTTTCCCTATTGAAGGGAGGATTACTTTTTAAAGAAGAATGAAGAGAGGAGACAACATAAAGTGGAGGCTAAAGCAAAAGCCAAACAGTAAGTTAGTCTTAGTTTGGAAACTAAGGAACCTTAACTTGGTCATTTAGTTACACTCTAAACAAGTTTGACCTGATCTGATCTTACTTTACAGGGAGAAAGAAGTAAAGCAGAAACAAGCAGAAGATGCTGAGATGGTGTGTATCTTTTGAATATTCTACAAGCATAAAAATAATTACAATAAAAATAAGTACTGTACTTTATTGTAGGTAATAAGAATACAAAAGCCCCTTCTGTCAAATTTGACTCAGCCCATACCAAAGTGCCCGATGCTAAACTTATGTAGCTATGTTCTAATTAGAGGTGGTGCTAAACTTAAACATTCAAATAAGAGTAACTTGTCTCCTTTATCAAACTTGACTTTTTCACAAAAATGTGGGGGTTTTTTTTCTGGAAAACAGACCTTACGACAACAGGCTGAGAGCTATGGGACTCTTCAGCCTGGAAAAGCACAGTCTCAGAGGTGATCTGATGGCCACCTATTGTTTTTTTTTTTTTTTTTATAAGGGGTGTCCACCAGGATCTGGGGGAATGTTTGTTCACCAGAGTGCCCCAAGGGATGATAAGGTCAAACAGTGTTAAACTCCTGCAAGACCATTTCAGGCTGGACATAAGGAAGAATTTCTTTACTGTCCAAACCCCCAAGGTCTGGAATAGCCTGCTGCCAGAGGTGGTTCAAGCACCTACTTTGAATGGCTTTAAGAGAAACCTGGATGTTTTTCTTGCTGGGACCCCAGCTGACTTCCTGCCCCTGGGGCAGGGGGCTGGACTCGATGATCTTCCGAGGTCCCTTCCAGCCCTAATGTCTATGAAATCGATGAATCTATGAAACAAAATATCGACTCAATTTTTATCACAGCGTATTGATACACATACCTGATTGTTTGATGCTAAGTAACTCTCTTTTTTTGAATATTCTAAAGCAGAGGTAGGCAACCTTTTTTGGCTGGGGTGCCAAAACCCCCCACAATGCCTACCTTGGAAGGTGCTGGAGTGCTGGCATGCCAGAAAAACAAAATGAGGGCAGGGGGTACATGGCAGGATGCCCTGCTTGTGCCCCTTCCCTCCAGCCCAGGCTCCATGGCTATCAGCAGCTACCCAGTACCTGGGCCAACTGCAAACAGCTGCTGCCTCCCTGCCCTGGCCCCAGGCTCTGGGGAGGCAGCAGGTGTTGGTGATGCTGCCCTTGCTGCTGCTTCTGCAGAGCAGCGTTGGAACTTGGTGCAGCAGGGCACTGTGGGGGCTGCAGAAAGCTGCCTGCTGCTCCAAGCTCCCCGCTGCCCTGCCCACACTTCCCCTGCAGGCTGGGGCAGCAGCAAGGGGCACAACCCTGTGTGCTGCCTATGCTGCTCCTATGCACTTGGGAAGTATGACCTGGCAGCACGGAGCCTTCAGCCGGCAGCCCCTGTGCGGCCCCTTTGTGTGCTGCTGCTGTGGGTCGCACATGCTGCAGTCCTGGCCCTGCTGCCCTCCCTTGGGCCCTCTGGAGTGCAGCGAGTGCGACTCAGAGCGGCAGCTTGCAGAGGGGCTGCACAGGGAAGCCTTGCCTGCTGCTGCAAGCTCCATGCTGATGGGTCACACTTCCCCTTTGTGCATGGGAGCAGCGTGGGCAGCACGCAGGATTGTGCCCCTCATTGCTGCCCCCGCCTGCAGGTGAAGTGTGGCCGGGGCAGTGGGAAGCTCGGAGCAGCAGGCAGCTTTCTGCGCCCTCCGCTGTGCTGGGTTCCAATGTGCTGTGGAAGTGGCAGCTGTGAGGGCAGCACAGCAGGGAGCATCACTAGTACCTGCTGCCTCCCTGGGGCTACGGCAGGGAGGCAGCAGCTATTTGCAGCGGGCCCAGGTTCTGGGTTGCTGCTGATAGCCATGGAGCCTGGGCTGCTTGCAGCAGGGTTTCCATCCTCCGAGCTGGCTGCTGGGAGCAGCCCGGGCTCTGTGGCTATCAGCAGCTACACAGAGCCTGGGCTGGCTGCACCTGGGAAGCTACAAACAGCTGTGGCCCTCCCGGCCCCGGCTGTTTCCGGGAAGGCAGCAGGTGCTGGCACTGCACCCGTTGGGGCTAGGGTGGGGAGGCAGCAGCTGTTTTTGTAGCCTCCCAGCTGCAGCTGGCCCTGGCTCTGGGGTAGCTGCTGCCAGCAGAGCTTGCAGCCTCCCAGCTGGCAGCAGCTAGGAGGCTGCAAACAGCTGCTGCCTCCCCATCCCGGCCCAAATGCATGCTGAGGAAAATGACCTTGTGTGCCATGCTCGGAATGCGTGCTGGGAGCACTGACTCCTGTTCTAAAGAAACAAAATGCTGCAGGAGACTAGCTCTCCTTAGCAGTATAGGAGGCGCAAAAAGGATTAAATTGTAATGGTTCTGTTTTCCAGGGATAGCTGCTGGATTAGGAGTTGGTGACTACCTCTTCTCTTCCGCATCTCCCCCACTTTCTTTCTGGATAGTGAGGTCCCTGAACTTTATGCAACATTTTCCTGGTATGGGAAAGGCTGGCAGATACTGAAAGACAGTACAAGACTAGTAAAAACTCAAGTTCAAAAAAGCTCTAGGGTTGTAGTGAATTTGGCCTTTTGACAATATTTCTAGATTCACCTAAGATAGTTAAGGGAAGACACCAACTTAAGGTTATGGGCAGACTTAAGATATGCTTTGCGATGCAATTAAAATAGATTTCCCCTTCCTTCTCATAGCTACCTCCTTCATTTCTTGCATTTAGAAATCTCTGGAAGAAAACACTGGATACTTGCTGAAATTTTCTGGTGACCTAGATGATCAAACTTGCAGAGAAGATCTTCATGCAGTTTTTTCTGATCATGGAGAAATTAAATGGATAGACTTTGTCAGAGGAGCAAAGGAGGTCAGTAAATTGATACAGAATTGTGGTGGGCAGGAACAAGTATAATGATGGAAGCAATATTAGATTAAGTACCCAATGGCCATGTCTACATGAGATGCTTACTGCGCAGTAGCTTGCTAGTACTGCACAGTAGCATCATAGGGCACTGACCATGACCCGACGCTACTGCACAGTCAGCGTCACCCAGAAGCCAGTTACTGCACAGTCATTTAGTACTTGGCTATGCAAGTACTAAACTGAGCAGTAACAACTGTGCAGTCAACGCCTTGTGTAGACAGCCAGTGTGTCTTGAATTCCTTATCGCCAATGTGTTGTGTTCCATCAGCAACTTATCCAGATAAACTGGTTGCTCTCAAGTACTACTGAGTTTTGTTTCATTAGCTTTGTAAATAAAGGGTTATTTCTTATTTTTTAAGTGGGAGAAGTTCTCTCCTAATCTAAACTAATATTTTTGTAGATCCATATAGCATAATCTGGAGGAATCCGCATAAATTAAGAGAAAGTAAAGCTCTTGTATAATTAAGAGAAGAGAGGGAGAAAAGAATTCATATGTAGTATTTGGGCTGTTTGTCTGGTGCAGGATAAGCACGGAGTATCCTGCTTACACCTTCAGCTAGTGCTTTACTCACCAGGGGTGAAGTAGCTGTGCTGGTAGAGTAGAAACTGTGTTGCTGCGGAGGTGATTTGAGTGTGTTCACACTAAAGGTTCACAGGTGGAACTAGAGTCCTGGCTGTGAACTCAAGCATGCAAACTCTTTCTGTTTTAGGGTATTATTCTATTTAAAGGTAATGCAAAAGAAGTCCTGGATAAAGCCACAGAAGCAAATGATGGGAACTTACAGCTGCGTAAGAAGGATGTAAAATGGCAGGTGCTAGAAGGAGATACTGAGAAAGAAGCTTTGAAAAAAATCATGGAGGGCCAGCAAGAATCATTAAACAAATGGAAAACAAAAGGTGACTTTCTTCTGCCTGATGTGGCTATGCTGTGAATTAACTTTCTTGGCAACCGTAGATTTAGGCAATGTTATTTTCTTTCTTTTTCCTTCCCCAAATGGCAAATGCACAGAAATGCATGAATTGCTACTTAGTGACTCAAATGTTCTGAACTTGTCTGTACGTTGTGATAGGTCGCAAATTTAAAGGTAAAGGAAGAGGAGGGAAGACGGCCCAAGGTGCACAGAACAAAGGGAAAGTGCAGTTCCAGGGTAAGAAGACAAAATTTGAGAGTGAGGATGAAGAGAGTGACAGTAATACAGAAACAGGTAAGATACTTCATGCCTGGGAGGAATAGCTCAAAACTTCCTACCAGGATGCAGAGCTGTATTTACAGAGAATCTGATTTTTTTTTTTTTTTAATTACCTAACAAAGTAGTCAAGTTCTAACTAATGAAAAAAACAGACAACTGTTCACATGCTTTGGGATGTTTGTCCTGGTCATGTTTCTTACATGATACCTGTTGGAAACCAAGGATTAAACTGGTGTAGAGAACTTAGCCAGCCAAAACAGGGCTGACCATTAACAGGGCACTCCAAAGAAATTTGTACTAAGGGATACTGAAGATTGCTATCATAGGGAATAGCAAATGGTGGTGCCAAATTAGACTGACTTTTACTTAAATGAAAATTACTGGTTACATGACTGCTGCTTATACTGTCTTCTGTGCAGGTCGCCAGTTTAGATGCGCTCTCTTCTAACATTTACAGCCCCCACGCCCACTTCACACTTTCTCTCCCCCCACTACATACTTTCTCTAGCTGAATAAACTCATACCTCCCTGCATTGATTTATGCATTCTGAGGGCTTATTTTCAAGACTAGATGTCTCAAAGACTCTAGAAGCATTGTCGTAAATGGGTCTAAAGCAGGGGTATCAAATTTGCCCCTCCTTTGTGGGCTGGATATGGGCTGCAGTTGTGATGGGGTGAGTAGCAGTGGCTGCAGGGGTTAATACCGCAGTAGTCATTCCCCCTCTCACTGCTGACATGTCTTCAGTGGGGGCTCTGTTCCATACCCAGGATTTTGAGGGCTAGTCCTGACCCTGAATTCCTGGTCTCTTTGACACCTTGTTTTAGGTAATCCTTCATTGTTAAAGCAGGTACTAGATCATCTGGAATTGTTCTAGTATCTAGTGGCAAAGCATTAACTGAAGAAAGCTTGTACTTGCAGTAGCCTGAAGGACTGTATGTCTTCAGCTGGGTAGGAATTGTGCTGAAAATATCAAACAAAGGTCTTTCTAGTTCCTTAGTGTCTGTGTATATGAACACTTACAGGGCCAGCAAGTCCCAAGAAAAGACCATTAGAAGAGACTGAAAAAGAAGAACCTCCATCAAAACAACTGAAAACAGAGAATGGAGCAGGAGAACAGTAATATAAAAAGCATTGTTTTTATTACTCCATTTTAAATAGGTTTTAAGCCATTCCTCAGTTCAGAACTTTTCAAAAGAAAATCTAACAAAATCCACTTCAATGTCAACCTGCAATGAAAGGAAAGGTTTGTGTTTTGTTTGTTTGTTTTTCTTTTTTTATATATTTTCAGACACATGCTTATTCTAACATGCCAGTCAGGATTTTTTAAAAAAATATTTTGTTTATACTGTCAGAGCCTCTCAGCATTTCTGGCACTTGATTTAAAATGTAAATGGAGGTTCTATCCTTGAACCAGACTTTGCAATTTTGAAGTTGTATTAAATAAGTCACCAATAAACTTCAGCATTTAAGATGGTACTTAACAGCTGGTGATTTTTAAACTTATGCAGATTTCTGTCCCAACTAACGTGTGATTAGAAGGCTGACCATTTGATTTGGTGATTGAGGATAGCTTCAACAGAATAAAACTCCTGTAGCCTCTCTACAGGAAAGAGGCTAGCTAGCTAAGAACTGATCAAACAGCCTGTTTAAGCTACAGTTGTAGCTGACTGGGCCTTTATTACTTATTCATCCAAGCCTTGTACTTTTTCTTCCTGTACAACAACTGCAAAAAAAAAAACTGCGGGGAGTGGATTGCAGCTCTTGCCCCTGGCCCTGGCCTCACGCTGTCATGGCCCTGTGTTCCCAATACTGGCCCCACCTGCCCACAGCCCCAACCCATCTGCCTGTGTCCTGCTTGCATAGGCACCAGGCTGATCTCCATAGAGACCACAGGATTGTGGGGCGGTGATTGCACAGGACCTGGGACAGAGCCACAATCTGTTCTCTGCACACTCCTGCCTGTGGAGTGGGTATCTATCACAGAGGTGTGTGGGAAGTAGACTGCAGCTCTGCTCCAAGCCCTGGCCTCACACTGTCATGGCCCTGCAATCCTGATCCTGGCCCCACCTGCCTGTCCTGTTGCTGGATGCCACACTGCACCTGCCCATGGCCTCACCCCATCCACCTGGCAGAGTGAGGGCAGAGCCACTTTCAGAGCTTTGAGCTGGGGTGAGGGGGGGAGAAACGCAACAAACTGCTGACCTAGCCTGTGACAGCTCACCAGAACTCCTTAAGTGGCCCTCTGGTGCAAATAATTGCCTACCCTTGGTCTAACCAGATCTTTGCTCCCCAAGGTCTACTTCCATACCTTTCACCATACAAAACGCAAACTTTAGTCCCTTCCTCTTTTATACATCCTTCCCATTGCTGCTTCTAGTACATCTTCTGCTTTTCCCACAAGCAGTTTGGTTTTGTTCATCCTTGTGCTCGAGTGCAAAATACCTTCAGACTAGTCAAAGCCATTATCCTATTATCCAGCTGTAAAATCCTGACTCATTCTGAAGTCCTCTTTAGAAATCTGAATTAAATAGGGCCAGATTTCAACTCGGCCTCCTGCTACAGGTTAAAAAAAAAAATTTGGTCTTTGCCAAATTTTAACATACATCAAATACAATCAGTTAGTGAGTGATAAACATGTACCTGGCTATTTGTACCCACTTGCAACACTGACTTCAGACTAAAGTGAGACACCTCAAGTACTGAGTAATATTCTACAGTATTCCAAAATAATTATCGTTATTAAGTATCACCTAGGTCTTGCTGCCATAAAGCAGAATATAGCAAGCTTGATGCCAATAACTGAGTTAGCTTGGCAACAAACGTGCAGACTAAGCTGGATATAACTACAATTCACTATAGGGCCGGGGCGGGCAATTATTTTGGGTGGAGGGCTGCTTACCCAGTTTTGGCAAGCTGTCTAGGGCTGCATAGGTAGCCCCGCCCCTTGGTCACCATCTTGGGACTGATGTTCCAATGCCTTGGGACCAATGTCCCATAGCCAGCAACAGTGGGGCCTAGAGCAGGGTGCAGGCGTCTGTGGAGCTGGGTTGGGCTGCACCAGCAGGGAAGGGGCCAGCTCCTGGCCCGGCTCCATAGAGCCCCTGCCGCCCAGGACCTTGTACCCTGCCGCCCTGCTCTGGGCCCCGCTGGTGCTGGCCCCGGGACACTGGTGTGGGCCCCACGCTCCTGCTCACTCCTAGTGCCCCAAGCCCCGCAGTACAGGCAGGGGGCAGCGTGCAGCCTCAACCCCCTGCTCCGCAGCAGGTAATGAGCTGGTGCTGAGTGTGGGGAAAAGTGGCCCCTTGCCTGCCCCATGCCCGGCGCTCCCTGCTGAAGCAGGCACAGACAGTAGGCACAGACAGCCCCAAGCGGGCTGTGAGCGGCTGCAGTGCTGGGTGCTGGCCACGGGATGAGTGCTGGGTGCTGGCCGGGTGCTGGCCACTCTCCCGTGCTCAGCAGCAGCTTGTAACCCACTCCAGCAGCGAACCTGGGCCCCGCAATGGCTCTAGGCTCGCCTGTTACAAGCTGGTGCTAAGCACGGGAAAAGCGGCCCTTTGCCCACTCCATGGCCAGTGCCCCGTGCTGCAGCTGTTTGCAGGCTGCGTGGGGCTGCCTGTGCCTGCTCAGGACAACCCTGCGTGGGCTGCGAATGGCTGCAGCAGGGAGCGTGGGGCAGGGGAGGAGCCGCTTTTCCCCAGGCTCCTTCCTTGCCCTTCCCCCTCACCCCCTGCAGTCACATGGTCCCAGGCCAGAACCCGTGCTGTTCCCGTAGCCTGCCGGGCTTCCCCTGGGTCTCACTGTCTCTGGTTTCTGACATTTTTGACAGGAATCAAGGACAGATCAATATTTTCTAAATTTTTTTTAGGGGCCTCGCAGGCCGAATAGAATGGCCTTGTGGGCTATATTTTGCCCACCCCTGCTACAGGGCTTAACACAGTGGGACTAGAGCCTCTAGGGACTCCTGCAAAATAGAAAATATATTTTAAGGTAAAGTCTAAACTGTTGGCTACATCTAAGACTATGGATTGTATTTAAAGTGCTTGTCTAATACAGGCAAGAAGGGAAAAACGCTTACCGATTTCTTCTTATGAAACTTGTATGATGCTGGTAAATCATATCTAAGTTCTGTGAATAGCAGAGAGAACAACTGTCACACCATGGCAACTTGGGTACGTTTCCTCAATGCAGATACAACTCACTAGCTGTACTATTATCATCTATATTCCTTTACATTTAAACCACTTTACTGCTGTCAACCACTTGATTAGAACAAATTGATAGGTGTACACAATGCATCTGAGTTGACTTATGACAATGGAGTATTATTATAATACACATACTACTTTGTCTTGTTATATTTGCACCTGAGAGGAAGCTACTTACAGTTAATTAACTTGGCACTCAATTACTGCAAAAAGTACTATATCGGGGTGGGCAATTATTTCGGCTGGAGAGTTTTGGTGAGCTGTGAGGGCTACTCTTGTGGCCCTCTCGTTGCTATCTTGGGACCAGAAGTCCCTCCCCTTGCCTCCGAGAGGAGTACTTTTGGAAAAAGAGGTTTGCCACCTTGGAACCGGGGAAAAAAACAAATCATATACTAAAAACCAAATATCTATTATAAGTTCTTATTTCAAAAAATATTTTTATCCTTATTTACGTGCATTTGCATAGTGTATATAGAGCTGATCACAAAATAGATCAAAATATAGTATATTGTGTGGGGTGTGATTGGGTGGCTGGATGTATGTGTGGAATTTGTGAGGGTGTGATTTGTGTGTGGGGGAGGATGTGGGGGTATGGTAGGGGGTGTGCGGGACCTGCAAGCACGTGAGTGCCCTGGGGTGACAGCCTTCCCTGCACGCAGAGCAGGGCAGATGGGCCTGCTGAGCCATAAGGCTGTGGCTGCTGCTGGCAGTGGCTTGTAGCAACTGTGGCCCTAGTTACTGGAGCCACCTCTCTGCTTTTCCCCTAGTAACCAGGGCCCAGGCCTGCCATATTCCCTGCTATTGCTATGGAAGCCAAGGGACTCCTGTGGTAGTGGTAGCTGCAGGGTGGGGGATGCGGTATATGTGAGCTCCTGGAGCTGCTGCCTCCAAGCCCCAGGATTAGCTTGGCTTGCCGTGTGAGGGAGAAGGGATGGTTGCAAAGCAGCTGGTCTAGGAGAGGCCACATACACATAAGCAAGCCAGCCCCCTGAGCTACTCAGCACCCCTCCCCACCAGCCCATAGCCTGTGTCCCCTGTGGCTCCTCCCTGCTACTCCCCACAGCCCCAGCCCTGGCCTGCCCTGAGCCACACCTGCTCCGGACTCGCCCCAGCCAGATCAGACCAGCTGGAACCCGCGCATACAGCCCTGACCCCAGCCTGCCCAGCATCTGCTCCGCATTGCCCGCCCATGCTGAGCAGCGGCAGCAGCCAGGCAGAAGCTGTTGCTGGCACAGGGGAAAAGCAGCCGCTCTCCCATCGCTGCTAGGCTGTTTGTGCTGCAGCTGCCCTGCAGCTTCTCTCTGCCACTGTCGCTGCTGCCTTCAGGCTGCCCTGTGGGGCAGCAGTGCAAATCAGACTAATAGCAAGGCAGCCTGGGCGTGGGCTCTGGGTGGCTGCAGCAAGAACTGCCCAGCCCCAGTGAGGGGGAGGAGCCCCTTTTCCTCTGAGCCAACAGCAGCTTCTGTCGCTGCTGCTGCTGCGCACGAACTGGGCTGTGCCCAGGGGTCCCTGTAAGTACCACAGGGCAGTGGCAGCCAGGAGGAGCTGCTGCTACCTGGGCTGCCTAGAACGGCAGTACAGCTGTGGAGCCACCCCAGCCTCATTGCATGCTCAAGGGGCAGCACGATGTGCCACAGGCTGGATGGCACTTAGAGGGTCTCTGTCTTGCCCACGGTTCCACTTGGCCCATGGGTTGGATCTGGCCTGTGGGCCGTATTTTGCCCTCCCCTATATGATACTATATTATGCTTTTTAAGGCTTATGAATAAGATGACCATAAGGAAATATGGGACATTGCCTCCCCTGGCCCAAGTCAGCAGTGCTGCTGTAGTCCTGCTGGACTGTGCCACGCCCCCCTGCGATTCTGGGACATCTGTTTTAATTTGCACAGACAGAAGTGACAATTTTCACCTGGTCTGGTCACAGAAAGCAGTTTACAGCCATGACCAAACACACATGTTCGGCTGCAGACAGCTTAAAAATGGCCAATCAGGTGAAAATCTTGCACTCTCATTGCGTGAGGGGTCAAATGAAGACATTTTAAAACAAAGTGTCCTTCTGTAACTGTCTGTGTTGCATGCCGGCCTCAAGCTGTTTCCAGAATGGGAGAGGGAAAAGGGGGCAGAGGGAGTTTGGTTTGGAGGTTTTCAGCCCATGCTGGAGGGTGGACTGGGTGTATTAGAGTCACTCAAGATGGCTGGGTAGCTCTAGAACAGAGCTTTCCAAACTTTTCATGTTGGTGACACACTTTTTAGACATGCATCATTTCGCGACACAGTAATTCAGTTCCGGGGGAGGGGCCAAGGGAAGCAGACGGGAGTAAGGGAGCTCCGCGGTGCCCTTCCGCAAAATTTTCTGCATTTTGCGCGACACACCTACACACTGCCGCCGACATACTAATGTGTCGCGGCACACAGTTTGGAAAGCTCTGCTCTAGAATGAGCTCCCTCTGCTCCCTTTCCCCCCTCCCATTTTGAAACAGGGACAGGCTAGAAGAGAGGAGGGACTGTTGCTAGGGGAAACTGGCTATAGGCTCCCAGCCAGCATTCCCCTCCCCCCTGGAACCAACACTGAACTTCTGTTTGCACAGAGGGATCATTGCAACTCAGAACACTTCCTTTAAAGTGTTTTCAGTTACAGCAAGGAGCCGCGCTTCTGTCTGTGCCCCTAGTGACAGTAATCCAATGCTTCAGTTTTACTTTAGAGGTCTGTTTCCTTCCTGGAAGAGAGAATTGCTCGTATAAAGGGAAAGATAGAATTAATACAACTCTTGAGATTTTTGTAAAGAAAATGGTGGAGAGAGCTTGGTTTTGGTACAACCTTTGTATCTCACAAGTGTGCGCTGAGGACAAAGCTAAAAAAACCAAACCCAACAACCCTTTATATTTTGTTAACATCTTGCTTGATGGTGGGGAAAGTAAAATGTAATTCAAATAATCTGTCAATTAAAAAATATATTCATCTTTAGTCTCAACATTTTAAACTTTTGAGAGGTGATCTTATGGCCACCTACAAATTCATTAGGGGGATGCATTAAGGCATCGGAGATGCTCTGTTCATCAGGGCGCCTCTTGGGGTAACAAGGAACAATGGTTACACACTGACGGAGAACAGATTTAGGCTAGATATCAGGGAAACCTTTCTTCATGGTAAGGGTGGCCAAAATTTGGAATGGGCTTCCAAGGGAGGTAGTGCTCTCCCCTACCTTGGGGGTCTTTAAGAGAAGGCTGGATAGGCATCTGGCTGGGGTCATCTGACCCCAGCACTCTTTACTGCCCAGGCAGTAGGCAGAATCCATGATCTGTTGAGGTCCCTTCCGACCCTAGCATCTATGAATGATAGTTTTACACAGTGGCTCCCAACCTTTTTTTTGCTGCGACCCTAAATCTGGGTTGTGACCCCTGCTCCTGCTGCTGATTTAGTCATTCCTAGTGGTGCCAGCAGAGCCTGGGCCAGGCCGAGATTGTGGGGGGCAGTGGTGGCAAGAGCCACGCAGACTGTGTGTTGGGAAAGTGCCGTAGGTGGGAGAGGCAGACCCCCTGCGACCCTGATTTGGGTTGTGCCTCAAGGTTGGGAGCCACTGGTTTTAACCTGTTTCTGAAGGCTATTAACCACAAACAAACTGCATTTGTTAGAAGCAGAAGATAGTCTTACCAGCTAGAACTTCCATCTTCACTTTCCATTCATCTGCTTTCTTTTGAATGTGCTGCAACAAAAGTTTTGTGGACTCTTTTAGAACTGTTAATATTTTAAACTCTTGATGCTTGGAAAAAAAATTCACTCCTGTACCGGAGTTGAAATACTAACTCTGACAGCTGCATTGCTGTGCTTCAAGGCCAGCGTTGTTTGCAACTATAACTTATCCATTGCTATTGCTCCCATTAAGAATGATGGCTTAAGTAATTTGAAGTTCTGTATTCAAAGTATGGATGGGAGATGCAACAAATCTACCCATTCAAACTATGCTGTGGTATCCATCATGGGCATACAAGTCTTTTAAGTTTGCACAGTTTCTGTAAAACTAAATGTAGATTTAAATACCACTTATGTCTAGTTTCTGCTTAACTTGCTGAAACTGGGAACTTACTTGCCGTGTTGAAGTTTTGTGTAAAGAATATACAGCTGTTCTTGCCATTTGCAAAGCTACTTTCAAAAAAACCATATCCATCCCTGCAAAAAAGGACCCAAATTACAGTTATGACTCTTTTAATAAACCTCAGTTTAACTTTGCTTTTCAAATACTCACATAGGAAATCAGTAGCTATGCTTTGTTACTTAAGTTTAGAACTATACTTTTCTTAAGAGAGAAAAAAAAACACCAAACAAAAAGCAAGGGCACTGAAACATGGAATTAGATAAAAGGTCTTTAAATGCAATGTTGAAGAGTAAGGTATTGAAGGAGGAAGGGTGGTACTTAGGACAGGTGCAAATAAGATTTAATAGTACAACTAACTATTCAAATTCAACTGTGTTAAAACAAATGCTGGACATTTGAAGAGATCTAACTTGGACAAGGAACTTTTAGTTTGGTGTTGTTACCACATCACAAAACAAAGCAAATCTTTAAAGGTATTTTCTGAAATATAAGTGTTGCCCCTTCAGGTTACTCAGCCGATGAAAATGTTTATTCAATTATAGTACATTTATCTTCAGAAATGACTACAAATATTGTTTGTTTTCTGATCACTAACCTTTATTGTGCTTGGTTCCAAAGGGAGGATTCATAATTACTGTGTCAAATGTTTTTGACATTCTGTCAGGTAAAGAACACACGTTGCATTGAATCACATCAATATTTGTGAGCTCAAATTCTTCAGCATTTCTACTAAATATTTCCAGGGCATCTGTGTCCACATCAAACCCCACACACAACCTATAAAATGGAAAGCATTAGTCAGGAACAAACAGCTACAACATTGTTCTGTCTTTGCCTTGGGAAGGGTGGGGCAGGGGGGACATTAATTTGTTTTTCTAATGTACACTGTTGTATGGTGTGAGACTTTTGTGTGTGTTTGTTTTATTTTGGCTTAAAGTAGAGTTTTGAGGGAGAGCTGTTGGGACAGAATTTGTTCTGTTAGTTTTAGTGTGAGGTGGTGAAGCAAAGGTATGTTTTAAAAGTAGATTACTAATAGAAGAAGAATATGATCAGCAAAGCTTTTTATTTTCCTAAGAATTTCTTGAAGTTTATTAATAATACATTTTAAGCTTGTGTTGTTTATCTTATGAGAAAACAGTTACAAAAATATGTACAAGTTTCCATTAAACAAGTATGTTTCAAATAGAGTGCAACTGTTCTTATCACTTGTCATTATTTGCATGCTTGCAGGCTGGCTAGCTGTAGGAAAATGTCTGGTGATGCATCTATTTTTAGTTAAGTGCAGTCCAGTATTGTCATGTTCTAATCTTATCTTTCATTTGATTCTATACTTGGAAAGAAGCAAACCATAATTCTGAGTGTGAATCACCTACCCTGCTCCTAATGTTGCACTTCCGATGCTGAGCACGCCACAACCACACCCTAGATCGGCAACCACTTTGTTTTCAATATCATCAAAAGTGTTGTGAATTGTGTACAGCATACATGCTGGAAAACAACAGATTAGAAGATGACAGCCAACTATTTATCTGAGTCAATACATAAACAATTCCTTCTGCCTTTCAAAAAAAACTTTGAATGCCATGTTGCTGCTTTTAGTGAATGCAATAATTGTTCACACAGGAACATGACACCTAGTGATCACACTGCTACTATCCTTTTTTTGTGTATGGAAACAAAAATATGAAGATAAGGACTTCAGATCATTGCTCTAATGGGTAGTTTTCATGCACAGCAATTACTCTGGTCGCAGGAGGAGTATACAGGGAATTGTGACTGAACTATCAATATTAATACTATCTCTGACTAATTATATAAAATGCTTTTACTGAAGGACTAAGAGCTGTATTTCTACACTTTTTCTTGATGTATGCAAACATTTCTGCTACATACAAACAATATCTTAACACTCCCTTTAGGACTGAAAAAGGACCATGCACTAATTAGATTCAATATAACCACTGTTCACTAATTATAGGCCCACCCTGATCTAAGCTTTTCCATCTCAGTAATGTTATTTTCCTTGTTACTTGGAGTTTTATACCTCTAATATGGTGATTTTCAGCCAGGGTCATGTGTTACCCTAAGGTGCCTCAAGAGCCTTAGGGTAACAAATGGGTGTTGTGGGGCATCACCACACAGTTAGTGCTGTTAGGTGTGCAAATGTGATTCACAAAATAAAACCAGAGATTTGCATAGGAATCCATCGTGCTAAAAACATTTTCCCCTGTTGTGGGCTTTGTGTTCTCTGCAACAGAAAAACTGCTCTACTCTTTTTCCCCAATAAAAAAATATGTGAAAACTAAGCATTTTTGAAGGGTGCCTCAAGCCTAAAAAAGTTGCAAGCTACTGCTCTATGATATGACTTAGTTCAAGACTTCTTTAGAAGTGTTACGATTAAGGGCTCCTACTCCTTCCTTTATGCTAACTATGCAGTGTCACAACCCAAGGGTGTGATTTTGTGTGCGTGCGCTTCGGCACTGCTAAATTATTTCCCGCCACGAGGAGCTTTCTTTGCAGGGTGCATTTCTCAGTTGCAAAGAAAAAACCCCGGTGCAAAGGAGTTCCCGCCACCCGCATGCAAATTTGTGTCCCACTATTGGCCAGTTCTAAATTATTCCCACGTGGCGGCTAGCGATTGGCTTGCTAGCCATATAAGAGGCTTGAGCGGTTTCTGTCCAAGTTGGAGGACTCCACAACCATCTCGTGGAGGAGGAGGACTTCATGTCTCGTGAAGAACTCTAAGCGCTGTGGAGCCTAACAGACCCAGCGCGTGCCTTAAGAAGGCTATAGGGGTCTGATCAACCTCTGGCCTCTCCCCGTCGCCGAGCGTGATCCCTCGACGAACCCCTTCCCTGTGCGCTTGTTCCACGGAGCCTAGCAAGCTTCGTGTGCGTGTGTGTATTCAGAGCTCTGTCCGAGTTATTTCAAGAGGCTCGAGTTTTCTGCGGGTCTTGTTCGAGTTCGTGTTGTGGAGCCTAGCAAACGCTACGTGTCTGTCTGTAACTGCAACGCAAGCAAGTTTTTCCTGCCTGCACCGCGACCATCTACGGTGTAAGTAAAATAATCTTTAATCAACCGCTACATGTCCATGCTTAATTCTAGTCCGCCGGCCTGCATTCCCCGACCTGCATGCCAGGGCTGCTGGCCACAGCCCGCCACGCACCCTCGAGGGCCTCAGACCGCTCCCGGCCCACACACAGAGCATTACAAAGTAGACAGTGGGGCCAAAGAGCCTCTATGCCCTTCAGCAGTTCACACCTGTAACCAGGGTTTGTGATAATACAGACAGCAAAATAGTGAGTGTGCTGTCCAGTTAAATGAATTACACCTATTTATATGCAGATAGGTGAAATACACTGTGTTAAACTTTAAATCTTGAAGAACTGTATAACAAAATAGGTATTTTCAACAAAATCTAGTAAATGTCCAGACCATACCCCTTGCCATGCACAATCTCTGAACTGTTCCTGGCAACAATACAAAAGCTTCTATGAGCATTGTAGCACCAAAAAATCTAGAAACAAGAAGAAACACTTAAAAAAAAAAAAAAAAAAGCAGCTATAAATGATTGGAACAGAATGTGAATTAATGCCAGCATTATATATTATCTCTACCTGCAATATGTGGCCTTGTTGGATACTGTTCAAGTAGTAACTTTGGATTCTCAAAAACATCAACTTGTTGAAGACGGCTTTCCAGTTCTTTAAGCTTTAACTTCTTCATGTTTGTCTTTTCAACTAAAAAAAACAGTTTAACATTGTGAAGCTGTATCTGATTATAATGTTCTTTTATATAAAATATAAAGTTTAAAACTATCTTCAAAAAGCATACTTATGCCACACCACCTTTTCAAACTCCCCTTCTATCAGAAGCTCTTGTAGTTGACACAAGAAAGCCCACTTCAGTGAGATGCTAAGCATCCTCATTACTAATTAACTTGAAGGGGAGCTGGCTACCTATGGTGTCTTTTGGGAAAGATCCTGCAGTGGATTTTATGCTTTGAAAAACATTATGTTCACCAGATAGAAAAAGGGAGTGACTTCCAGATCCATCACTTCATGATCCTTGAACCAAACTTCTTGGGTACTGTGAGGATTTGCTGGTAATCGCTCAGTCTGATAACCTCTTCTGATCTTTTCATCTTAGATACAGCTGTAATGGGGAGTGTATACCTATCCTGATACCTCACATTCTGTAATGTTTTTTTCTCTATGAAGTAGGGAAAAGCTATAATCCCTGTTTTAGAGATGGGGGAGTTAAGGCAGGAGGAGATTAAAGGTCATATCTAAAAAGGATCTAAGAGAAAACACAAGAGGAATGCCAGCCTGTAACCTAGCCAACCAGGGGTTCTGCTCCCTGGGGGATGTTGCTTACTTTTTGTCCAGTGACTGCTTAATTAAAGTGTCCTAGGAGCAGGGGCTGGAACTGATCTCGCAGCTGTGGACCCCAGCCCATAAGCTGCAACTCTGGGTTCCCTCTTGTACAGTAATATGCCCTCAGCAGGAGGGGTGGAAAATGTCCCCAGCCTCTGCAAGATGGTAACCTGGTGGCTGGGGCCCCCTTCTCCACCTGTGCCATCTGGGTTTCAGCCTCCTCGGGCTGAGGCAAACATAGAAAGCAAGGCTCCCACTTTCCCTGCAGTGCCAAGTGGGGTCTGATCACCATCATCATCATCATCTCCCCCCAGGCATTTTAAAATAAACAAGGAGCTTCCCTTAGTTGTGGGTACTGCCTCCGAGCAGAGCCCTCCCTGCAGCCTGAGTCGGTGCCTCGGCCGCGGGCAGAGGTGAGCTGTGTTGTCAGAGCCCGGCATTGGCTGCCCTGCCCGCCCCCAGGCTGGGCGTGCGGCCGGGGGCGGGGGCCTCAGCCCTTCGCCCTCCCCGGCCCAGAAGCGGCCCTTCCGCGGCCCTACCTCGGTGCCGCAGCCTAAGCGCTCCCCTCCCCGCAGAGCAACCGCCTATCTCGTCCC